TTGATCATATTAAATGTAATGGGCAATATTTAAACATGTTAAAGTATGGGCTAATCAGAACGATACTGTAACAGATGGACAGAATGTGTGCTTAAAGTGTAGCTTGGACATCTGAGCGGGCAGCTAAAATAAGATATGACATACATTTTCTTTTTTGTTAAGATAATTTCTTCTGTGTTTCGAGATAATCAGAATTTTACAATGCCAAGAAGGAAGTTACTTTGAGGAAGAAAAGTATCTGAAGTGTGTTCTTTATGAGATGGTACACTGTTTAAAAAAATTCTTGTTTTTATAAATGTAAAAAAGTAGCTTGAATTAAAGAATTTTAATAATTAATAGGAGGGGTCACTTTATTATTTTGAATGAGAATACTCTAAACATGTTGCTAACAAAAGATGTTTTAAATCTTACTTAGATACTAAGTATCTAAGTACTATACTTTTGAAAGTATTTGTTCAAAAAAACCTGTCGAAATGTTGCCCTGACTTTCCAAATTGAGTCATCTGAACAATTTTTATGTTGAACAATGTTTTGCAAGTTCCCAGCATGCATTGAAGCTTTTATTTAGCAATAATTATATGATAATTTTGTGGTAACTATTTTTAAAATTGTTCATTTATGCTGCTGCTGCCACTGTTAGTTATGGTTCATATTTTTACTGGATTGATATTTCTTGATTTCGCTGTGTTTGCAATTTGTCTGGGGTATCTATCTATCTGTGTGTGTGTGTGTGTGTGTGTGTGTGTGTGTGTGTAAACAATCCACTGGCGACCTCTGGTTGTGCAGGAAAGAAGCTGCAAGTTCAGATGTTATAACGGATGAGTTATATAATAACTGGAGAAAGCTGTCTGTTAGCATTCCTATTCATCTGAAATGCAGCTGCTCACTGAACCCCCAGGAAGTCCACCAAGATGGTGTAGCTACAACATCTACCAGCAGGGGGAAGTAATGCCATAATAATCAGCATGGCATGTTTGCTATAAAGAGGTCGAAATTTCAGCCTGATGTGAACGCATCTATAGTGGCTTCAAAATCAAGAGAAAAGCAGAAGAGTGTTGAACATCATTGGTGCCACAGGCAATATCAATGGCAATGCAATAAGAACTTAACATTAACATCTGTGTTGTAGATGATGAAACACTGACTAATTATGATTGGTGTATCTGAAGAACCTTTTTTC